CGAATTGTACACACTGTAACTTGACTCTAGCATAGTGATGTCATTTTGGTCCTCTTCAAGAACAAAGGACAACAACCAACCAACTTACCTCACAGGATTGTGACGCTCAAATGAGAAAATTCCTATAAAGTCCTTTGCAAACTTGAAAATACCATATTGATATCGATTTTTATAGAAATATAGAAAAATACAACTTTAAAAAACAAGTTAGTCCCTCAATTGCTCATGTTCCTCAATTAATTATCATAACATAAATTCTTGAAGTTCAAAACTATATTAGGTGTTGAATGAATAACATGGTACAGTGGAAAGAGCACTGGATTTGAAGTAAAAAGATTTGGAATCCAAATCCTGGCTCAACTACTTACTATCTATATGCGTGACGGAGTAAATCATTACTTTCATCCCATTTCCTCATCCATTCAATCAAGGGACTGGACTTGATGAGTTCTGTTATCCTTTCTGGGTCTAAATCTATGATCCTATGAACAAACCTTATGTCAGTAAGAACTAAAAACCAGATAATCTGTGAATAATGGAGAATAACTGAATTGTCCTTTTTATAAGTGAGTAAACTTAAACTATCTGGATGTACTTGATTCTGTGGTTGTCCTCTTGAATCCCAGATTAGATCTCTGGTGATGCCACTCTCCTTTCCAAAAGTTCAGATCTGTATCTGGAATTTATCCTAAGTATCATTACTTCAGTAAGGAAACAACTTGAAGTCTTGACAGAATCATCTTACCTTCTAAGGTTTTTGGTTCAGACTGGGATGAAATTGTAAATAAACTAACATTTATCTGGGGATTTTGATTCAGAAAACTGACAAATAAAATAATGAATGAAAATGCATTTATTAAATGTTTATTATATGACAAGCACTGTATTAACGACTGGTGATATAAATACAAAAAGCAAATACATTGTCTACCCTTAAGAGGCTTGCATTCTAATGGGGAAACAACACACATGGGGAGTGGTGGCCAGGGAAAAGCACTCTGGTCCAGAAAATTACAGTACTAGTGAATGATGTTATAATAAAGTAGATAGACTCACTCCATTTAGGAATAATGGCAGAGCTGATATGATTGTGGTGCATGATTCCAGAAAATGACATAAATAGATGGTAGTAACAATCAGTAATATGCTCTTCGGATTATAAGAAAAATAACAACAAAAAACTCCTAAAGTTTATGATGCAGGAGGATAGTTTATAGAAGAGCACCTTTACTTGCAGATAACCCAGTCTAGTCTGGGCATGTGCAATTTGGGTAACATGGAGACAGCCTTAAGGGACTTCTGGAGCACATACAGATTGCCTAAAATGGAAGCCTCATCTTCCTCTACTACAAAGGTGGGGGTGGCCTCTTTTGATTAGCTGCTTCCATCTTTAAAAATGACAAGACTGAGACATTCACTTTCTTTTCTGCAAATGTGTTCTTTTCTTCTTCTCTACTTACTCTCTGCTGCTGCTCTTCTCTGCTGTACTCAGTGTGAATGCCATTAACTAAACTGATGAGAGGGGAAAGAAAGTCCTTCCCCTGCTCCCTCTTTCACCCCAGCTCTGAGAAATAGTCCTGAGGGTATTTATTTCTGTTCTGTGTTGTTTCTCCTTCTGAGTTTCAGGTGCAATGGGTAACATTGCAGCCAGGATTACAGGTGGAGTGGTGCAGCCAGCCTGCCCATCATGAAAGTCCTGGGAAGCCAAGGTGCCTGAGACTCAAGTCCTAGAGGGATTTTGGATTTGAAACTGGGAAGATGCTTTATGGTGTCAAGATATTAGGAGATACCCTGTTTCCCAGAGCTGAGGCCCAGCAAGCAAGCTGTGCCCTGAGCTTGGCATAACAAACAGTCCTTTACATACACCCTCTTAATGATCTCAGCCACCGCAAAATCCCAAAATTGTTTCTGGTCATGAAGCCCTGCTGTGAATCAAACTTGTCACATTGTTGCTGTTACCCCTCATTGTCAGGGCCCATATGTAGGAGGATTATGCCTCCCATGGATTAGGGGAAATGTTTATATGTTTATTATTATGCCTTTTGAAGTAAGTATTTCTATATAAAAGCTTTTAGAGGCTAAATGGAACTGTAGTGCCGAAGATGTTCACCCCTTACAATTGAAGAAACGCCATAGGTGGAGCTAGAGCCATTGGCAGAGAGCCTAGATAATTCCCTTAAGGGTACCACAAATGAAATCTAACCTACCTGTACAACCAACCAGATGGTGGGGATGTTATATTTATATGCAATGTAATTTTGCCTTACATATATTGGCTTTGTTGCCACTAAGCAGAATGTTATCTGATCTGTTAAGGGGGGAATAATGGTAAATATTCAAAATTCTAGCTTTGAAACCATCTCAAAAGGTTTTTCATTGTATCCAATGAAGAACCCCTATATTCTCTCCCAAAATGGTTCCAGCGGTTGAGATAATTCAAGAGTTGGTAAGGTAAAAGTCATTTTTCAAATCTTTGGGAATCTTTTTTTTTTTAAGCAATGAATAAAGATCTGGGAAATTCACAAACCATTGAAGATAAAGTAATCTCAAAGTCTGGATGTCTATAGAAGGAAGCTGGGTCATAAATAATGGGTCTCTAGGGTCATCTTTTTTTTATTTGTAAATTTTTTTATTTTAAACTTAAATATAAAATAAGGAAAGAAAAGCATTGCCATGTGCACAGCAGAACGTAAGAGAGGATTCAAAATATACAGCGATAAATTTTCATTTTAAGAAAGCCTATATAATAAATACTATACATTATGTTGAGAGTTGTTATCTTTTCTTTGCTTCCTTGTAAGTTTTCTTTTGTTCTCTGCTGTGCACTTTTTACTTTTTTTTCCCCCTTTCTACCCCCCACCAAAGGCTAATATTAAGCATGAATATATTTATATATATATATATACATGTACACCTACATACGTAGGCATATATGCATATATATACACACACATACATACATACATATATACATACAAAGATATACATGTATACATATATATACATATACCTATACATACATACTTACTTACACATACATATACTGAGATATCATAGTCATATATAGATATATACATTCATATGTATCTAGTAAGACAGTACTGTACATATATATCCTCTGTTTCTCTGAGGGTGGATATCCTCTTCCTTTATAAGTCCAAGTCTTTCCATATATTTCCAAGTCCACCAACTCGTCATTTCCTATACCACAGCAGTATTCCCACCTTATTCTGTCTAGTTGTTTTAAACAGTCCAAATCAATGTTGATGAATATGGATGACACATAGGTAGTTTCCCTATTTTTCTCTTTTGATTAAACCTATTTTAGCCTTAACTTTGTCCAATATCATGATTACCATCCCTGCTCCTTTTTCCCTAACAAATTCTACTCCTGATCTTTATTTTGTCACATAGCTAATTTAGTATCTGTGACTAGGTGGTAGAGTGAATAGAGTGCTGGGCCTGGAATCAGGAAGACCTGAGTTCAAAAAGCCTTCAACACTAACTAAGCTTTGTGACCTCTGCAAAATAACTTATCTGTCTCAGTTTCCTCATCTGTAAAATGGGCATAATAATAGCACCTACCTCTCAGGATTGTTGTGAGGATTGAATGAGATATTTGTAAAGTGCTTAGCACAGTCCCAGGCACACAGTAGTTGTTTAATAAATGTATTCTCCAATTCCCCCTGTGGCATGATTTGAATTTAGACTTTTCTTAAGCCAAACCCATCACTCTCTCTACTATGCCACCTAGCTATCTTTATAATAATAACAATAGGATTTACATATCACTTTAAGGCTTGCGAAGCACTTTACAAATATCTCATTTTATCTTTAAAACAACCTTGAAGATAGATGCTATCATTATCCTCCATTTTATAGATGAGGAAACTGAGGCATGCAGGGGTTAGTCACTTGCCCAGAGTCACACTGTTAGCAAGTATCTGAAGACAAATTTGAATTCAGCACTTCCTGACTACAGGTCCCACACTCTGTCCACTGATTATCAGGTTTGGGCAGCAAATCAGATGGTTCTACTTCTGGACCCTTGTCAAGCGCTCAATTTTTTTTTTAATTATAAGGTATCTTTTGTTTTTACTTGACTTTTATTTTCCATTATCTTTCTTTCTCCTCCCTTGCCCGTCCTATATAACAAAGAATAAAAAAAAAGTGGGAAAAAAAGAGACATTTCAGCAAAACTGTTCAGTAGTGTCCTATGTTCATAGTCCCCCACCTCTGTAGAGAATAGAATGTTGTGACTGAAATTTAACAAGAAGGTAAAATGAGGTAGTGCTTCAAGCAAGATAACATTTGTTAACAGGTGCATACTGCCTGCCAATAAATGGGTCAATGACTTGCCTCCATTTTTGCCAAAGACCCCAAGCAGATAGATAGCTCCCCTTTTATAGGTTTTGGGGAATACAGAACAAAGAACAGAACAGGGTAGATGACATCATTGGATTGAATGCAACATGATTGATTGGAAGTTTGGTAATGGGGGCTAACAATGACTCCCCCCACCCCTTCTCTCATGGGACTAAGAAATGCTTATTGTCTGAGTCCAGGTGTTGGATAGCTGAGGTGAAGGAGTTTTCCAGCCTAAGACAACTTAGGAGGAATTAGAAAAGAACCTGACTTCCCAGGATGGTCTTCTGACCTGATTGAAAGGCAGATACCTCTGGGCAGATACCACCAAATCAACAAACAACAAGCCCTTAAGGCAGTTATGTCAGCAGCCTCTGCTTCAGGACCTTTTGCTCCCAGGAAAGTGGCAGGGTCAGGCAGCTGATCAGGAGAAAATTGCAATGCACTCAAATGGCTGGTTCTGGACACAGGGGCTAGTTGCACTGACCAGACTTGGTCCCAGGCTATGGCTGTGGGTGAGAAGTGAGTACATGCTGATGAGTGCACTTATAGAGGGACAGGGGCCCTGCTGACCATGGTCACTTTCAAGAAAAGCAGTCCTTGCGTCTCTGAGCTCTGGCCCCGCAACTGGCAACATGGTTAAATGTACCAACAAGGTCAGAACTGTTGGTAAGTATGGAACACGTTATGGTGCATCCCTCAGAAAAATGGTGAAGAAAATTGAAATTAGCCAGCATGCCAAGTATACCTGCTCCTTCTGTGGCAAGGCCAAAATGAAGAGACAGGCTGTGGGTATCTGGCATTGTGGATCCTGTGTGAAGACAATAGCTGGTGGTGCATACAATACCACCAATGCAGTCGCTGTCAAATTTGCATCAGAAGACTGAAGGAATTGAACATCTGGTGAAATCTTCTTATCAAATATCTGTAGCCCACAGTCCAACAATAAATGGGTTAACTTATGGAATAAAAAGAAAAAGAAAAGAAAAGCAGTCCTTGGTTTTGGTTCCAGGGCAGAGAGATGAGCTTGCAACGTGGGAGGGACCACAGAGAGTAAGAGCATTTGAAGGGACAGCATTGCTGGGCTCTGGTCTCAGCTCAGGGGCACAGAGGAATACCTGAGGTCACTCATAGACCAAGGCTTGAGCCAGAGGACCAGTCAATGACCATACCTGGCCTTGAATTACAGAACATTGGAAGAACTAAGAGATCAAAGGCCCCCAGATAGAGCTCAGAAAACAGCAGCATGAAAAATCTGAAGACTGAGAGATTATCCCCCACACTTCAGGAGTAGAGCTCAGCTCTGACATAAAGTTAACAGCCAAGAAATAAGCCTCTAAAAAGATTAGGAAGCGACAGAGCCAAGATGGCAGAGTAAAGACAGAGCCTCACCTGAGCTCTCCCCCAAACCCCTGCAAATACCTTCAAAAATGACTCTAGGGGCAGCTAGGTGGCACAGTGGATAGAGCACCGGCCCTGGAGTCAGGAGGACCTGAGTTCAAATCCGGCCTCAGACACTTAACAGCTACTAGCTGTGTGACCCTGGGCAAGTTACTTAACCCCAAATGCCTCATCAAAAAAAAAAAATGACTTTAAACAAATTCTAGAGCAACAGAACCCACAAAAAGACAGAGTGAAACAAATTTCCAGTCCAAGACAACTTGGAAGGTCAGCCAGAAAGATCCATTGCACCAGGGAGAGAAAGAGGAGCACAGCCCAGAGCAGGCCATGCCAGCTCAGACCAGACCCCTGCAAACCTGGATCAGGCCTTGGGGCAACTGAATCACTGGCAGCAACTACAGTTTTCAGACCTCTCAGCCCACAGACACCAAAGACAACTTAGAAGGTCAGCAGGAAAGGTCTGTCACTCCTGAGTGAGAATGGAACACAGTCCAGAGCAGGCTGCTCCAGCAAAGCCCTGGCCACAGCAAACCAGGAACAGGCCTTGGGAGTGACTGAAACAGTAGTGGCAGCAGCAGCAGCTGCTTCTGGAGACTCAGCCCACAGACAGTAAGGGGGTCAAACAAATGGTCAGAAGGAGATTACAGGGATCTTTTTGTTATCACTGAGACAGGACTCTTTTCCCATACTTTCCCATACTCAGATCTGGGTTGCAGTCCTGGGTAGCAGTCCCAGGGTGAGAAGGAGCACTAGCACAGCAGATCTTGTGGTCATAGTGGAGGGGGGACCTCCTCACAGTTCCAGTTCCAGGGCAGAAAAGAGTGCTTGTGGTCACTCACAGACCAGAGCACAGGCTAGGAGAGGAATAAACACCTCTCCTTAGATCATACCATCTTGCAAGGACTGAAAACTTACAGGTCCCTAGATGTGTCTCTGAAGACCGCATAAAACCCCTGAAGCTTGGGACAGTGCACCCTCCACCCAGGAAGCAGAGCCCTACCTTAACAAAAAGTTAAAATTTAAGTAATAGGCTGGGAAAATGAGCAAACAATGAAAAAAAAAAACTCAGACTATAGAAACTTACTTTGGTGACAAGGAAGATCAAAACAAACACTCAGAAGAAGACAACAAAATCAAAGCTACATCTAAAGCCTCCAAGAAAAATATGAATTGGTCTCAGGCCACGAAAGAGCTCAAAAAAGATTTTGAAAATCAAGTAAGGGAAGTAGAGGGGAAAAATGGGAATAGAAATGAGAGTGATGCAAGAAAATCATGAAAAACAAGTCAACAACTTAGTAAAGGAGACACAAAAAAATACTGAAGAAAATAGCACCTTAAAAATAGACTAGGCCAAATGGTAAAAGAGGAACATTATAGCTAAGTTTCAAAGCTCCCAACTCAAGGACAAAATACTACAAGCAACTAGAAAGAAACAATTTAAATATTGTGACACTATGGTTAGGATAACACAAGATTTAGCAGCTTCTACATTAAAAGACCAAAGGGCATGGAACTTGATATTGTGAAGAGCAAAGGATCTGGGTTTGTGAATAAGAATAACTTACCAAGTAAAGCTGAGTGTAATCCTGCAAGGAAAAAGAAATGGATTTTTAACGAATTAAAGAACTTTCAGGTATTCTTGAAGAAAAGATTAGAACTGAACAGAAAGTTTGACCCACAAGAATCAGGAGAAACATAAGAAGGCAAACATGAAAGACCATTACAAGGGATTTAATAAGGTCAAACTGTTTACCTCTTATATGGGAAAACTTTATCTGTAACTCTTAAAAATGTTGCTAAGGGTAATTTGAAAGAGCATACATAGATAGAAGGATTGGGGTTGAGGTGATCATGATGGGATGATGCTAAAAAATAAAATGGGATAGGGAGAGGTAAAATAGAGCAATTATCTCACACAAATGAAGCATGAATGGAAGTACAATTACAGTGCAGGGTAGAAAGGGGTGGAGGGCTGTAGTGCTGGAACCTTATTCTCATCAGGACTGGGTTAAAGAGGGAACAACATATGCATCTAGAAAAGTATAAAAGTCTTCTTAACTTACAGTGAAATAGGAGGGTGAGTGGATAGGGTAAGGGGGGATTCTTAAAAGGGTATGCAGATTAAGAAATAAGAGGGCTATGTGATAAGATAAAGAAGAAATTTTTAGAAGGGTACATAGATTAAGAAATAGGAGGGCAAGAGGAGAGGATAAGGGAGGGACTCAGAAGGGATGCAGATTATGGAGGCAGTGATCAGAAGTAAATTAGATATCTGAGAAGGTTTAGGGCAAAAAGAGAGGGAGAGAAGTATAAACAGTAAGGAAAAATAAGATGGAAGGAAATACATATATATATATACATATATATACATATATATACATGTCTCACATAAATATATGGATATACAGATATATAATATAACATAAATATATAGATATGCATGTGTATATGTATATATGTATGGATGGATGTATGTGTGTGAGTGTGTGTGTGTGTGTGTGTGTGTGTGTGTGTGTGAAATGGTGGCTTTCCCTAGTGTGGGGTGGGGAGGAAAGTAGGGAGATAGCTTGGAATTTAAAATGTAACACAAAATAAATTAAATTTTAATGTGACTTGCCCAGACTCACACAGCTAGTAAGTGTCCAGTGTCTGGTCTAAAGATGGATTTGAACTCAGGTCCTCCTGATTCCAGGGCTGGTGTTGTATCTACTGCTCCACCTAGCTGCCCCTAAATTTTAAAAAAGAAGCTTTTCCTGATACTCCTTAAAGCTAACGACTTCCCTCTATTGATTATCCATCCCCTCAGTTTTATTTTGTGTATGTCTTTGTTTTTCAACTGTGTTTCTTGTAAGCAACATATTTTTAGGATTTTTTTCTAGTCCAATCTCTCACTCTCTTTTGTTTTAATGGATTATTTAATCCATTCACATTTAAAGCTATGAGTTAGGTTTTAATTTTCATCTGTTTATCTCTAACATTAAGGATTTTTTTCAAGTTATGATTTTTTCTCCTCTTCCACTGTAAATATAGTATTATGTTCCTTCAGTTATTTTAAACTTTTTTTTTTCAAGGTGGCCTTGTTCCCACTGGCTTTCTTCCCTTTACCTCTGATCCTCTCTTCTCATTTGTTAACCCTTTCCCATTGGGGTTTTGTTTATTAGTTCTTTTTTTCTGCTGCTCTTATCTGGGTATGTAATTCTTCCCCCAATCCCTGCTCCTTTTTTCTTTCAGTTAGTCAAGCATATTTTCCCCTTCCTCTTTTCTCCTTCAACTAGTCCTGTTCATTAGTTTGTTGTTTTTTTTTTCAATTTAACTTCTTGTGTCCCTTTCCAGAAAGGATCTCTCTCATTCTCTTCATTACCCATTGTCTCTTTCTTTCTACTCTAGACCCTCATTCTCTGATTCATGACCTCTATAATGATCTGGTCTCTCTTTTTTCTCTGTATTCCTCATGCAATTAAAGTTTCCAAGGTATCCATCCTAGGCACTCCTCTCTAGGTGTTTTCTGTCACTGCCTTGTGGAACTGATTCCATAAATTCCCCTATTCCATTATGCCTCATTCCCAGAACAATGTCACTTATTGTAGGTATCAGAGAGGAGACTGATAACGGTAAAGTTTCACATGCACACCCCTCATGTCCCTGATTATGCAGCCCAACAATGATCTATACCCTCCCAATTATCTTTTTTTCCACATTTGCCTCAAAATCTCCTCCTTGTGCCCACATTCTCCCACTCCCACTCCCCTTGGTGCCAATTGCCCAACTCTGCTTCTCCCAATATAGGACAAATAGACTTCTCAAGCACCAAATCTCCCAAATCATACAGTTTAAGGTCTCCATCTGCCTCCATAGACCATTGCTTTTCATCCATAGGAGCCTTCATTAGCCTCCTCCAACTGCCAAAGTAAGGAATCCTTCCTTTCTCCTTTTTTCCTTTCTCCCTGCCTTCAGTCCTTCCCTCTATTTACTTTTCTGTAGGCTCTTTTTTTTTTTTGGCTAAGCAATGGGGTTAAGTGACTTGCCCAGGGTCACACAGCTATTAAGTGTCAAGTGTCTGAGACTGGATTTGAATTCAGGTCCTCCTAATGACAGGGCCAGTGCTCTATCTACACTGTGCCACCTAGCTACCTCCTGTAGGCCGTTTTCTTTCTGAGACCACAGAGGTCACCTTCCCCTCATTGCTAACCCTTGGTCTGACCCCGGCACATCACACACTCTTCTCTATCCCCGAATTCCCCTCCTCTCTTTCATGTACCCTCCCATGTTGGAATTTACTCCCATAAAAAAAAAATTGATTAACCTGTCAGCAAGGTGTCACCAGGTTCTGTCCATGATGCCCTCTTTACTATTAACTCTGAAAGAGTTTTTGCCTGAAAGATTTTTGCCTTCACCCTGGCTTCCCTGCGTACATTTAGAAAGAAGTGTCTTACTGGTCTCTGTTGTCACTCTGTTGCTGTTGTTCTCCTTGCCTGCTACATCTATTCACTCCTCCTGCAGTTCTGTTGTTTGGAGTGTTTGAGAAGCAAATAATCTCTTCAGTTCTCATTTTCTTCTTGAAATGTTTCTTCTTCATTATTGAATACCTTTCTGTTTTCCTGTTTAGTTAAACTCAGATGTGCAGAGTATGTCACCCTGAGCTCCAACCTGAGTTCCACTGCTCTTTGGAACACATTATTCCATTCTCTACTATCTTTTCTAGTGGTTGTAGAATAGTATAATGATATTCAAATGTCTTTTCCTTTTTATTTGAAAATTTTTCTCCTGATGACTTGTAGAATTTCTTGTTTCCAAATTAAATTGTTAAATTTAACCACTATGTTTCTCGAAATTTGCAGCCTTGGGTCTT